GGTCAGAGCATCCAGTTAATCCCCAAAATAAACTAATTTTACAGACCCTATCCCTCCGTAGTCTTTCAAGTAGGAGGCCAGCGTTCTCCTCCGGTTTACAGGCACTGTGTAAATTATATATATAGAATAATTATGATGATGAATGCATTTTTTTACCACTAAAATACAGCAACACATCTTTGATTAATGTCGTTTATAACTGGAATATTACAATTATTATTAACTTTGTCTGTAAAAAGCAGCCTGTCCAGGAAATATGCCCAAATCAACAAAAACTGCAAGCCGGCAGGCAAGACGCTCCGCTTCTGAGACGCGCCCGGTATGACGCTGTAGGAGGTCGGAACAAAACTGCGGCGCTGCCGTAACGCAGCGCAGACGGACCCGGTTAGTGTGATGGAGACTTCTGAAGCAATGGAGACAGGACTCAGACACATGTGTTTAGCTGGTTCTGAGAGAATCATCTACATTGTGCATAACAACATAAAGCACTATAGCACCGCCAACAGGCAGGAACGGGGAGACAAACCACTCCCCTTTTTGCAGGCAAACTGGGTCAAAGGTGTGGGCCTAGGAAATATTCCCCTAACACTTGGGAAAGTTCTTAAGATGTGAAATGACCTGGAAGTACCTCATGCGTATCATGAAAGTTACAGTGCTTGTTAAGCATTTTACAACTTATAGTGTAACTTGCTTTGTTTTGAACATTCAACACTATAATAATTAAATGCAGTTATATTTTTACTGTAAATGATCAAATAAACTCAACACAAGTGTTTACTGAGTTGTGTTTGGGGTTACTGAAACTGTTAAACATGTTTGAATGGTGATATACACAGTGATAGGTTAAGGACTAACAAGTTAAGGGTATATCGCATAAAATTGTATTTTTTTTAAAATATTTGTATCCAACCATACGGGGATTCACGTGAATTGACACGTGTTGACTGCAGGGTGTGTAAACCATAACCATAAGTTACACATTACTTTTTTACAGCCATTCAGGATGAAGTGTTCAGTGAAAACATTAAAATTGTCCGTGTGCCTCTCCTCACCGTCTTGTGCTGCAGGTCGTCGATCAGCTGCATGTTGCTGTGGTCGCGCTCCTCCACCTCCTGGCTCTTCTGGTCGTAGTTGACGGCCAGCTCCTCCAGGGCCTGCAGCACCTCCTTCACCTCCTCCTTGGCCAGCTCGTTCTCCGCCTGCAGCCGGCACAGCTCCTCCTGGATCTTCTCGTAGTCGCGCCGCGTGGACGCCAGCAGCTGGGGAGAGAAACGGCCACGTTTATATCCCCATAGACTCACACATAAATAGATACAGAGAGACAAACGTTCTTTAGTTCAATCAAAAGGGGACACACCTCTTCCTGGTCAATCATCTGCTCCTTCAGCGTCTCCCCCAGCTGACTGTGTTGGTTGATCTCATCATCCTATAGAAATATTGAGAGTAAATGAAGTCAGTACTTGCAGAATAATCACAACACTACGCCTGTATTATTATAAACTTGTAAGTATTCCAATAAGTGTAATGTTTTTAGAATGACTGTATATTCACTTTACAATCGCTGTATGATCTTGTCAAAACACAAAAAGCTCATATTTATGATTTCCTTTTGGATTGATACTGAAGACTTTATACAGTAGTTAAGTGACATTGATGCAAAACCAGTAGGGGTGGGAATCACCAGGCTCCCCACGATACGATACTATCGCGATACTTAAGCCACGATACGATAGTATTGCAATTCTACGATATGCCAAGAATTGCGATACGATATATTGCGATATATATTTACATCTTTGTTTTGACTAACTTCCTGCCAATCCCACTGACTTTACCCATGGAAGAAAAGATCAGCACCATCTANCATATACTGCGTTAGCTTAGCCAATCTCCATTCAGAGAAACACGCATTTTAAAAGGTTTTTCGCCTGCCGTCTGTCTGCAGACTTGTCAAAGCATTAATTCATGGTTTTTACTAACCGGTATCAGTAAATTAATGCTTTGACAAGTCTGCAGACAGACGGCAGGCGAAAAACCTTTTAAAATGCGTGTTTCTCTGAATGGAGATTGGCTAAGCTAACGCAGTATATGCTCCGACCGTCCACACTCATAACAACGGCCTACAGACATAAATAAACAAGCGACTGTATTCTCCATGACACAGACAGTCTGTGGTTTGTACCTGTTTAACTTTCGTCTAGTTTCTGAACAGATATGAGGAGCTGTGAGCTCTGAAGGCTAACAGCTAACGGCTGTGTTGTTTTTCTGGGGCTCTCATTGAAGATGACGTCACGGCTCCGCCTACACTGCGTTACTATAGTTACTGCCCCAGCCAGTCCTAACGAGGCTTAGCCATATCGAGCGAGGCTGTGTAGTGGAAATGCGCCATTAGTCTTTATTATTTACCTACCTTTATATTGTTTTATTTATTTTATAGGACTTATTTTATTAATCTAACATGCTTCAATAGCAATATTTCTTTTTACGTTGGTCTTTTTTATTTCTTAATCGTTTAACCTTTATGGCATTTTTATTACTATTATCTTGTTATTTGTATTTCTGTTGTAGCGATATATTCACTTGGGTTTTACATTTTATTGTTGCATCGATTCAGTTATCTGTCAGAGAGAAACCATTATTTATTTTATTTGTATTATCATACATTTGACCTCCTTGTGTCTGTTAACCTGATAACATGTTATATTTTGCTGCATAAAGTTCTTAACAAATAATCTGAGGGGAATTTCTTGTTGTTTAGTTTTAACTTGTGATGTGTCATTTTGTAAAGCACTTTGAGCTGCATGTGTTGTATCAAAAGTGCTATATAAATAAAGCTTTATTGTTAAAAAAGTTGAATTCACCACTCTGTATTGATGTGTCTAGTTCCATCCATTTGAGTAATTGTCGTTCTGCTCTCTCTCAGGCCAAAGAGCTTCAGTCTCTCCACAACCTGCGAAAACTCTTCGTTCAGGACCTCACCACGCGGGTTAAGAAGGTACGTCCCCTTCCTCAGGTTCAGTGTCTTTTCTCTGACACTTTTTTTACATCTAACCTGAGTGCTGTTTTTATTTCTCAGAGCGCAGAGTTGGACTGTGAGGAGGGGCTTGGAAATGTGGCCCAGAAACAGAAGATCTCCTTCCTGGAGAACAACCTGGAGCAGCTCACCAAGGTCCACAAGCAGGTAAACTGTACAAGAAAGGAGATTAATAGAACAAGTTTTAATACGAAATGAAAAGGCAAGTGTGCTGGTGTTATTGTTTATTTGGCAGAAATTGAATATACTGTATATATAAAGTATTCTTATCTGTCACCAAAAGGCTAAATGGTGCTAAATTCTGCTCACTTTCCCTGTAAATAAAAAAATAACAACATTTCGCTCTGAAATGTACAACTAGAAATGATATTGATGGATGCTTTATTTATCCCAAAATGGGAAATGATGTTGTCACAGCAGCAGTGTTGTCAAGCATTTACACCAGTTAAAAATATAAAAAGCATTCAATAAGATGATATAATGAAAACAAATTATTCACAACATCAAAGGACTTACTATATGACTGGAGTATCTAAATATAACGGAAATAAATGGAGTACTCTACAGCAGTGGTTCTCAACTGGTGGGTCGCGGACCCGTTTCGAGTGGGTCGCGGATGTTTGAGTGAAGAAAAAAAAATTGGAAAAAAAAAGTTGGAATTTTCTTTTTTGGGGAAAAAGTCAAACTTTTATTTTGAAGGCCCGATTTTCTAACGCTGTGCATGCAGTCGGCGTTGGACTGAAAGTACCGGAGACCATAAACGCCTTTGAAAACTTCTGTCACGTAGTGATCATCTTCTCAATAAAATATCTTTGCTGACGTTTTTTCGAGTCTTCTGGCCAATCAGAATCAAGATTGTTGCCGGAAGTCCCCACGGAGAATAACTCTGCGGTAGAACTCTTCTTTATACATCCATGGGTACAACTTCAGATAAAAATGAACACTTAATGAAATATGACCCCCGGTTTGATGATTGACAGGTCACAGAACAATGGGAGCTATCTACCCTTACCCACAATTTAAAGTAGGTCACACAGACTATCTCCTCTTTGCTCTTCTCTCTTTCGTTCCCCAGACCCCCCTGCTGGGGTTGGGTTTTCAGCATGTGTGCCTTTTTATATAGTTCAGCTTTGATTTCATCATCTCATTAAACCTTTTTTAAAAGCATACTTTAGTTCTGTGAAGGGATATA